GCGCTCTGAAGCTGGTCAAACAAATCATCAATACGAGGCAAAGGATAACAGTTCTTCATTGTAACTTTGTTCAACTGGCGATAAACAATACACATACGCATAGAACCATCATTTTTCTTCACAAACAAAACAGGAGCACCCCAAGGTGATATACTGGGCCGAATGAAACCCTTATCAAGCAATTCCTGTAACTGATCCCTCAACTCCTTCAACTCAGGAGGAGCCATACGATACAGAAGAATAGAAATGGGCTGAGTGCCCGACAACAGATCAATGCCAAAATCAATATCTATATCGGGCGGCATGCTTGGAAGATCAGTTGGAAACACATAGGAAAAATCCCGTACTATTGGGACTGAATCAACTGAAGGGGTATCAATACTGACATCTCTCACATAAGCTAAATACGCGACACACCCCTTATCAACCATACACTGAACTTTAAGGAAAGAAATAACTCTACTGGGAGTGTGATCTAAAGTACCCCTCCACTCAACACGCGGTACACCTGGCATAGCCAGCGTCACGGTTTTGACATGACAATCAAGAATAGCAAAATGGGGCGACAACCAATACATGCCCAAGATAATATCAAAATCTACCATGCTGAGCAACAATAAATCGGCTCTGGTCTCAAAACCACTAAGAGCAACCAAACACGACCGATAAATGCGGTCCACAACAAGAGAATCTCCCACAGGAGTAGAAACATAAACAGGGGAATTCAAAGAATCTCTAGGTACACCCAAATGCGGAGCAAAATAAGAGGACACATAAGAGTAAGTGGAGCATGGATCGAATAAAACTGATGCATCTCTGTGACAAACCAGTATAATACTTGTGATGACATAATCATAGGCAACAACCTCGGTACGGGCAGGAAGGGCATAATATCTGGCCTGGTCTTCCCCTCTAGTTGGCTGAGCAGGTGGGGTAGCAACTGGTGTTGTGATCATAGCCTGAGAACTTTGCGGAGCGCTCTGTGGCTGAGAAGTCTGTGGAAGTGCACTCCTCCCAAGTCTAGGGCAATCCCTCACCATATGACGTGTGTCACCACACTCAAAATAAGCTTTGGGAGGACGTGGCAGTGGGAACTGTACGGTACGGGTACTCCAAGACCCCTGAACACCTGAAACACTGTGTGAAATCTGAGATGCAAATTGAGTTGGCTGACCCACAAAACCTCTACCATGCCGTACTCTTCCTCCAAAATAAGGACCAATGGATCTCTCCAATCTATGAGGTCTCCTCATTTTCCTATACTTTCTCTCTCCTGACCTCGTCTGTCCTCTCTCTCCTGGACCCACCTAGTCTCTACTCGGCGAGAGGTCCTCACCACCCGCTGAACTGGGACCACAGGCTGTGTCGCTATGATACTTGGAACCCAACCAATGAGAACTCGCTGCTCTAGAGTGGAGGTGGCGGAAGTCTGGGTCCCTCCCCCGATCTGTGAAGTAGTTGGTACAACCTGAATCAACCCCGCCTGAACTAACATACCAAATATGCTCAGGAACTGTGCTAATGTCTCCTGAAGTGCTGGAGTAGTAGTAGCAGTAGGCGCATCCGGTGCTTGGGCTCTGGCTGGAACTGCTGGTGGCTCCTCGATGGCAGCTCGCGCGGGTGCTCTGGCTGCACCGCGTGTGCATCCTCAGCCTCTACCCTGGTCCCGACCTCTGACGACTCTCGCAAGGAGCGCAAGTGTTTGATCATCTCTAGTAGCATGTGTCCTCATCATCTGTGAGAGAATAGAAGACAGAGGTTTAGGATTGTGATGTCAAAAATCTCACACGACAAGAAAATCAAATGAAGTGGAATTTTCCTAACAGTTACATAGCCTCTCGTAGATAAGTACAGACGTCTCCGTACCGATCAGTGAGACTTTAATAAACCAGCTTGTGATTCATGACTCCTATGAACCTAGAGCTCTGATATGAACTTGTCACGACCTCGGTTTGCCCTCCGTGAACCATCGTGACGGCACCTAGTCTCTACGACTAGGTAAGCCTATAATGCGGAAGATAAACCAAATTTGCGGAAGAAAAGAAAAAAACAATTTAAAACAGGAATAGAGTGATAAAATAGCGTTTAAAAGTGCCGCTCGGCATACACAATATTAACTCTTAAAACCAATACATTTTTTCCATAACCCCGAAACCCATGAATCACAAGCTAAGAGATAAATAAGAAGCTCTAACTCCAGAAATGTCTAACAAAAGGGGAATACTTAAGGGCTATGCTATTACAGAAAGATAGAAAGGGACTCCTCGGTCTGCGGACGCGACAGATATACCTCGAAGTCTCTACAGAAGCGCCTCGCCTCAAGGATGATAAGACAAAGTGAAAGTACCTTGATTTGCACATGAAAAGCATTCGCAGAAAGGGCATGAGTACACCACAGCGGTACTCAGTAAGTGCCAAGCCTAACCTCAGTCGGGTAATGACGAGGAAGGTCAGGACCTTATTGAGATAAAATAAAAATATAAGGTATGACAATATAAGATAAGCAGTACAGTTGAAAGCAAACAATACGAATTTAATACAGGAAAACAAGGAATTCAATAACTGAACAGAAGCAAATCAATCACAAGGAAATAACCGGGAATATTTTAGTATCCCGAGGATCTCTTAGTACCCTCAATATATGCTAGGGATCTCTTGGTATCCCGAGGATCTCTTAGTACCCTCAATATATGCTAGGGATCTCTTGGTATCCTGAGGATCCCTCGGTATCCTCAATGTATGTTAGGGATCTCCTTGTATCCCGAGGATCTCTTGGTATCCCGAGGATCTCTCGGTATCCTCATTATATGCTAGGGATCTCGTGGTATCCCTAGGATCTCTTAGTATCCTCAATATACGTGATGGGGATCTCTCGATATCCCGCACTTCAGCTCAAATCGTAAATGCGTACAGGGGATCTCCCAGGATGTCGTCCCGTAGTCCCAAGGTAAAACACACAATAATGGCACAGGGAATACTCAAATAAACTCAACTTCATAACAAGGTAACACAGACAATTCTAACCTAGCATGCTTCACATAATACAAATAAGGCAGTTAAGCAAATAAAGCAATTAAGTCAATTAGACATGCTTCTCTAACTAACAGCAGGTTTAAAAGTGCAAGTAGAATAAATAAAAAGGGAAAGCACAATTAAAGTTACCTAATGTAAACCGGATTTTTTAACAATTAGCACAAGTACGCACTCGTCACCTCACGTACGAGGCATTTCAATTATTACAATACCAATCCTAAGGGAAGGTCCCCCACACAAGGTTAGGCAAGCCACTTACCTCGAACCAGCTCAAAATCAACCCGAAACCAAGTCTTTGCCACGAGTACTCGACTCCAAATGACCCAAATCTATTCAATTCAATTGCATAATGTAAATAACACTTCAAGTAACTGATTATACAATTAAATTCCAAGCTAATACGCGAAATTAGATAAAATGACCAAAACGCCCCTCAGGCCCACGTCTCGGAATCGGGTGAAATTTATATCTTCAGAATCCTCATACTCTCATGAGTCTATACATAACAAGAACACTAAAATCGGAGTTCAAATGACCCCTAAAATACCAATTTTAAGGTCTCTTAATCTCAAGCCCTAATTACCCATTTCCCCCCAAATTTTTTACCACTAATTAGGTCTTTAATCACATATAAACGAGTTATGAAGTCAAAAATGTTACCTCCAAGTGATTACCCTTTGGTTCCCTAAAAAATCACCCTTAAAAGCTTCAATCCCGTTAAAAAATGGTGGAAAAATGAAGAAGGGTCGCGGGTGGGCTATTTAAATACTACCCAGATATTCCTTCTTCGCAAACGCGGAAGGCCCCTCGCGTTCGCGAAGTGCAATCTCACTTGGGCCAAGATTTCTTCATCGCGAACGCGATGCCCAGGTCGTGAACGCGATTCAAAACTTCCTCCTCCTACGCGAACGCGAGAAGACCATCGCGAACGCGTAGGTATAGAACTCCCAGCTTCGCGAACGCGAGAGACACTTCACGAACACGAAGCATAAATTCCTCACCAGCCCCAGCTCCTCTTCGCGAATGCGAAGAAGGAAACCAGAACTGACTGCTGCAACATTTTCTGCAATTTCCTAAGTTCCAAAAATGACCCGTTGAGCATCCGAAATACACTCGAGGCCCTCGGGACCTCAACCAAACCTACCAACATATCCCATAACATCATTCAAACTTGTTCCAACCTTCGGAACGCTCAAAACCACATCAAAACATCAATTTAGCATCGGATTCAAGCCTAAGAACTTCAAAACTCTCAAAATACGCTTTCGATCAAAAAGTCTATCAAACCCCATCCGAATGACCTGAAATTTTGCACACACGTCACATTCAACACTACGGAGCTACTCCAACTTCCGGAATTCCATTCCGACCCTTGGATCAAAATCTCACTATCGAACCGGAAACTTCAAAAATTCAACTTTCGGCATTTCAAGCCTAAATTGGCTACGGACCTCCAAAACACAATCTGAACACGCTCCTAAACCCGAAATCACCCAACAGAGCTAACAGAACCATTGGAATTCCATTCCGAGGCCGTCTTCACATTGTTCCGACTACGGTCAAATTTCCAAAACTTAAGCTCTCATTTAGGGATTAAGTGTCTCAAAACTCTCCGAAACTCCAAATAAACCCTCTCGGCAACTCACATTAGCAGAAACAAATACGGGGNTATATATATATATATATATATTATTTTAGTTGATAACTTTTAAATTTACTATAATTTGCACCAAGCCAAAAATCAAAGGGAAGTAATCTTGGAAGAAAAATAAGATAAGTTTTCCTACAAATAAAAAACGCAATTGAGTTAATTGTATTGTCTTGTAGAAAACAAAATTTTTATTCTGGTTGCTAATTTTTTTTTGGGGGTTGTAAAAAGCCTTTACAAACAAATATTAATTGTGGACCACGTAATAGTTAATGCAAAAATATTGCTAAATTTAATACCACTCAAAAGATGCCGACCTAATCCACTTTTCCACCGCCTTTGAAATTTCCTGGTCCAAATACATCCGCTGGTATCCCGCAACGCGCTATCTTCATCGCTTAATCTTAGCCGTCCATCCCAGCCTCACAACCTTATAAATAGACTCGCCCCGGAGCCAATTCCTCCATCCCAGTTTGTTTTGGTTTCAATTGAGCTTCTAATTTCTCCCTGTACAGCGGGGTGTAGGTTAGTGGTTATCATTCTTGTTTTCTTGTATTATACAGTATGTGGATTTCTGAATTGCAGTCCTTTGATTGAGAAATTGAAAGCCTGAATCTAGATCTAGATGCAATTTTGGGGGAATCAGAGCACGATTTCAGGTTTGGGCGATTCTGAGGTTTTTGTTGTGAGATTTTCCCTATGCAATTTGTTCTAAGTTTATTTTTTCCATTGATGATCGGAGAGGATGTGCTATGTTAGCGATCAGGTTCCAGTTCTTGTTAGTAACTATGGACAGAGAGATCATTCTGTCTCTGATTTGACATGAGCTTCAGGTGCGCTATGTTTCACAAGCAGGCCACAACTTCGATATGGAGCTATCGGTTTGGATTTGATATCTTGCATCTTATATGCTAATGTTGTCTTATTCTCGCATCAACTTCCTTTACCCTGACTTCTTCAATGCTTATTTGGTCCGGTCATCGGTGGATTTCATTCCTAGGTTTTGATGTCACTTTTCAAGGGTCCATGGTGCAAGTGGTTCTAAAGGAATAAGTGTCTTACGGATAAGTACTCAATTCTGAATCTTTAGATTGCCGCCTAAAGTGCTTCTCTATATTTGGTGTTCTCGCTACTAGTTTTCTCTGCTCCAATTTTCTTTTGCTTATCACACCTGTTTTGTTGGATGGATTAGATTTGGAAATTTCTAAGGTTGGTGTCCAGAATGCGCTCCTCTGCATGTTGTTTACAGATCAATGTCAGAGGCTTCGAGAAAAGGGGTTTTTTCAATCGTCTCTGGCATCTCTGGTGATTTCCTAGGTGTATGCGTTTCGCGCTTAACTATTCCCTTCTGTCTGTGCTTGCAGCCGTTGGGTCTTAGAGTGCAATGAATTCTTCTTTTCATGGAGCGTTGAGATTGGTTTTGATTTCTTAGCTCTCAGTCACTACCATCACTCTCTATCTTCATATTGTTGCTTTCCTTTTGTACTTTATCTGTTTCTTATTATTTTGTTTTCGATTTGCTCTATTTTGTGTGCGATGTAGGTTTCTGATCTGCAATTCTATGATCTGACTGCTTTGAGAATTAAGCTCGGGCCAAGCAATTCAAGTGGCAGGGTTTGGGAGTCCTTTTTGAGTTTTTTTTTTTTTTTTTGTGTGCGCATTCAATTTGCAATTTTTTCTGTTTTGTTTTTCTTTTTTGTTGATTAGAGAGGGTTTGTTTGCCAATGTTGCCAATGTTTGATCAGGTCTGGGTAACAACTATAGGAGAATGATTCTAAGGGCTTCCAGTGGTTTTGATGAGTCTTCTCTATGGTGACTTTCCGGTGGGTGATTTCTTTTCATGGAATTGTAGCTAGTACCTTCATCCTACTCATAGTCATGGTATCTCGCTGATTACCCTTTATAAACAGCTTTTTGTGAATTTTCTTTTTTGTGCTTCTTGTTGTGACCTCTGCCAGTTACCTTGGTTATGTTCATAAGGTTGCTTTCGTCCCTTGTATAGTTTATCTTTTATGTTGTCATCCTTGATTATTTTCTTGTTATTATGATATGTGGGTTTCTTGTTTGCAATCCTTTGATTTGCGATGTTAAGAAATTGAAAGGCAGTGAGATCCACTCTAGATGCAATTTCGAGGGAACCAAGCATGCTTTCAGGTTTTGTGCGCAATTCTGATATTTTTGTTGTGAGTCTTCGCTGCACAATTAGTACTGCGTTTATTTTTTCCATTGACAATAGGGGAGTATCTTGCTATTTAGTTTTTTTGATCAGGTTCCTTTTCGATTTGGAGTTGTAACTTTGGATAGAGGGAATTTTTCTGTCTCTGATTCAACATGAGCTCCCCCTCCTATTTTGAGAAGTTACGGTAGTGTACACTTCTTTCCATACTATTTGAGCTATTGCTACTCTGAAACCTCAAGCAATTTTGCTCCCCGCTGACTTGGATCTTCAGATGAATGAGCCCGTCATCTGTTCTAGCCCTATGCGTCACAAGACAAGCAGGGCACAACTTCAGCATGGAGCTATCAGTTTGGATTTGATGTCTTGCAGCTAATATTGATGCTAATATTGTCTTATTCTCGCATCAACTTCTTTTACCTTGACTTCTTCAATGCATATTTTGGTTTGGTCATCTGGTGGATTTCATCCCAGGTGGTGTAGTTTTCAATGGATGAGTATTAAGATTGATCTAAGGGGGCAAGTGATTCTGAAGGTGTATTGCTTTGGTGTTTGTGCTCGGGAAGGTGCAGAGCAAGTTCTCAGGTCTTAGGCTTAAGAGGTATTGGAGATTTTCGTGTCTCTAAGCTTTGTCAAAAACTGCTGTTATATGGAAGCTCTCAATTAAGATTATTCTTTCCGCAAGCATGTATAGTGTATTCTGCTGCCGTTTTTAGTTTTCAATCCAGATGCTTATGTTCTTCGATGATCCAGCTGATGAGATCTCTTATCATTATTGACACCTGATAAGTACTCAATTCTGCATCTTTAGATAGCCTAATAAAGTGCTCTTCCACTTTTGGTGGTCTCCCTACTCATCTTCTCAGCTTCTGTTTTCTTTTGGTTATCATGCCAACTTGTTTTTGTTTGTTGGATAGATGTGTAGACCACACAGTGACAGGAATTAAGGGCTGGATTTTGAAATTTCAAAGGTTGGTGGTACGGTTTCTTGGTCTTTTTGGTGCTTGCATTGCATTCCTGATATTGTCAGGCTTCGAGAAAGGGGGAATTTCAATCTTGTGTCTGGCTTCTCTTATTTCCTAGTGGTATGGGTTTCAGCAGCTTTTCACTTACTGTTACCCCTAGTTTTTGCTTGCAGTCATTGGCCCTAGAGAAGTGAATTCCTCCTTGCATGGAGCCCCGCCTTGTTTTCCTTGCCGATCATTGAGGTCTCCGTTGGTCTCTGTAGTTTAGGCTTCTATGAGTATTGAGATTTCCAATCCAATTTTCTTCCCTAATCAGAGTGATTACTTATCTTTGTCAAACTGCTGGTATACGGAAATTGTCAACTGAGATTAAATCTTTTCACAAGTGTGTATAGCATATTCTGCTGCCATTTTCAGTTGTCATTCCTGATGCTTATGTATCTTCGATGATCCAACTGATGAGATCTCGCTTATGGTTATGGGCACTTGGTTGGACACCTGATAAGTACTCAATCTCAAATCTGGATCTTTTGATAGCCCCATAAAGTGCTCCTCTACTTTTGGTTTTCTCGCTACATATCTTCTCTGCTACTATTTTCTTTTGTTTATCACGCAAACTTGTATTTGTTTGTTGTTGGGATGTGTAGACCACATGGAAGGATTGGATTTTGAAATTTCAAAGGTTGGTGATCCAGCATGCGTTATGCATGGTTTCTTGGTCTTTTTGGTGCTTGCATGCAATCTTGGTATTGTCAGGCTTCGAGAAAGGGGGTTTTCAATCTTGTCTCTGGCATTTCTTTTGATTTCCTAGTGGTATGGTTTTCACCAGTTTTTCACTTAAATGTTGCCTCCTATTTGTGCTTGCAGCCATTGGGCCTTAGAGCAGTGAATGCGTCTTTCCATGGAGCCGCATGTTTCCTTGCCGATTTGCATTGAGGTTTCTGTAGTTTAGACTTCTATAATTATTGAGATTTTCATTCCAGTTTCCTTCCCTAATGATAGTGATTCCCTTCTCTCTTTGTCCAAACTGCTGGTAATACAGAAATTGTCACCTGAGATAAATCTTTTCACAAGTGTTTGTAGTGTATTCTGCTGCCCTTTTTTCATCTTCAATCCAGATGCTTATGTTCTTCAATTATCCAACTTGTGAGATCTCTCTTATGGTTATGGACACCTGATAAGTATTCAATCTCAAATATGGATCTTTTGATAGCCCCATAAAGTGCACATCTACCTTTGGTTTTCTCGCTACATATCTTCTCTGCTACTATTTTCTTTTGTTTATCAGGCCAACTTGTTTTTGTTTGTTGGGTGGATGTGTAGACCACATGGTGACAGTAATTAAGGATTGGATTTTGAATTTCAAAGGTTGGTGATCCAGTATGTTACACATGGTGACAGTAATTAAGGATTGGATATTGAATTTCAAAGGTTGGTGATCCAGTATGTTACACGGTTTCTTGGTCTTTTTGGTGCTTGCATTGCAATCTTGATATTGTTAGGCTTCGAAAAAGGGGGGTTTTTCAATCTCGTCTCCCGCATCTCTTGTGATTTCCTAGTGGTATGGGTTTCACCAGCTTTTCACTTACCGTTATCTCCTGTTTGTGCTTGCAGCCATTGGGCCCTAGAGAAGTGAATTCCTCCTTGCATGGAGCTGCCTTGTTTTCCTTGCCGGTCATTGAGGTCTCTGTAGTTTAGGCTTCTATGAGTATTGAGATTTTCAATCCAGTTTTCTATCCTAATTATAGTGATTCCCTTATCTTTGTCAAAACTGCTGGTATAGGAAAATTGTTGACTGAGGATAAATCTTTTCACAAGTGTGTATAGCATATTTTGCTGCCATTTTCAGTTTTGTCATTCCAGATGCTTATGTTCTTCGATGATCCAACTGATGAGATCTCTCTTATAGTTATGGACATCTGGTTGGACACCTGATAAGTACTCAATCTCGAATCTGGATCTTTTGATAGCCCCATAAAGTGCTCTACTTTTGATTTTCTCGCTACATATCTTCTCTGCTACTGATTTCTTTTGTTTATCACGCCAAGTTGTATTTGTTTGTTGTGGGGATGTGTAGACACATGGTGACAGTAATTATGGATTGGATTTTGAAATTTCAAAGGTTGGTGATCCAGCATTCGTTATGCATGGTTTCTTGGTCTTTTTGGTGCTTGCAATGCAATCTTGGTATTGTCAGGCTTCGAGAAAGGGGTTTTTTTCAATCTTGTCTCTGGCATCTCTTTTGATTTCCTAGTGGTACGGGTTTCACCAGTTTTTCACTTAAATGTTACCTCCTATTTGTGCTTGCAGCCATTGGGCCTTAGAGCAGTGAATGCGTTTTTCCATGGAGTGAGGTTTCTGTAGTTCAGACTAATATAATTATTGAGATTTTCATTCCAGTTTCCTACCCTAATGATAGTGATTCCCTTCTCTCTTTGTCCAAACTGCTGGTAATACAGACATTGTCACCTGAGATAAATCTTTTCACAAGTGTTTGTAGTGTATTCTGCTGCCATTTTTTCATCTTCAGTCCAGATGCTTATGTTCTTCAATTATCCAACTTGTGAGATCTCTCTTATGGTTATGGACGCCTGGTTGGACACCTGATAAGTATTCAATCTCAAATTTGGATCTTTTGATAGCCCCATAAAGTGCTCATCTACCTTTGGTTTTCTCGCTACATATCTTCTCTGCTACTGTTTTCTTTTGTTTATCACACCAACTTGTTTTGTTTGTTGGGTGAATGTGTAGACCACATGGTGACAGTAATTAAGGATTGGATATTGAATTTCAAAGGTTGGTGATCCAGTGTGTTACACACGGTTTCTTGGTCTTTTTGGTGCTTGCATTGCAATCTTGATATTGTCAGGCTTCGAGAAAGGGGGTTTTTCAATCTTGTCTCCGGCATCTCTTGTGATTTCCTTGTGGTATGGGTTTCACCAGCTTTTCGCTTACTGTTACCTCCTGTTTGTGCTTGCAGCCATTGGGCCCTAGAGAAGTGAATTCCTCTTTGCATGGAGCTGCCTTGTTTTCCTTGCCGGTCATTGAGGTCTCTGTAGTTTAGGCTTCTATGAGTATTGAGATTTTCAATCCAGTTTTCTATCCTAATTATAGTGATTCCCTTATCTTTGTCAATACTGCTGGTATAGGGAAATTGTTGACTGAGATAAATCTTTTCACAAGTGTGTATAGCATATTTTGCTGCCATTTTCAGTTTTTTCATTCCAGACTCTTATGTTCTTCGATGATCCAACTGATGAGATCTCTCTTATAGTTATGGACACCTGATAAGTACTCCATCTCAAATCTGGATCTTTTGATAGCCCTCTAAAGTGCTCCTCTGCTTTTGGTTTTCTCGCTACATCTCTTCTCTGCTACTGTTTTCTTTTGTTTATCACGCCAACTTGTTTTTGTTTGTTGGGTGGATGTATAGACCACATGGTGACAGTAATTAAGGATTGGATTTTGAAATTTCAAAGGCCGGTGATCCAGTATGCGTTACACATGGTTTCTTGGTCTTTTTGGTGCTTGCATTGCAATCTTGATATTGTCAGGCTTCGAGAAAGGGGGTTTTTCAATTTTGTCTCTGTCATCTCTTCTGATTTCCTAGTGGTACGGGTTTCACCAGATTTTCACGTAAATGTTACCTCCTATTGTGCTTGCAGCCATTGGGCCTTAGAGCAGTGAATTCGGCTCTCCGTGGAGCTGCTTGTTTCCTTGCGACTTGTGTTGAGGTTTCTGTAGTTTGGACTTCTAATTATTGTGACTTTCGTTCCAGTTTCCTTCCCTAATTATTGTGATTCCCTTCTCTCTTTGTCAACACTGCTGGTAATACGGGAATTGTTGACAGAGATAAATCTATTCACAAGTGTTTATAGTGTATTCTGCTGCCACTTTTTTGTTTTCAGCCCAGATGCTTATGTTCTTCGATTATCCAACTTATAAGAGAGATCTCTTATGGTTATGGACACATGATAAGTACTTAAACTCAAATCTGGATCTTTTGATATAGCCCCATAAAGTGCTACCCTGCTTTTGGTGTTCTTGCTGCATGTCTTTTTCCTCTGCTTCTGTTTTCTTTTGTTTATCATGCCAGCTTGCTTTTGTTTGTTGGATGGATGTGTAGACCACATGGTGACAGTGATAGAGCATTAGATTTTGAAATTTCAGAGGTTGGTGTCAAGTGCTTGCACTGCAATCCAGATATTGTCAAGCTTTGAAAAAAGGTTTTTTTTTTATCTCTCGTATGTAATATCTAGTGATTTCCTAGGTGGCATGGGTTTCGCCAACTTTGCACTTAACTGTTCCTTCTCTCTGTGCTTGCAGCTGTTAGGATATAGGTTTCTGATTTGCATTTCTCTCATAGTTTCCGTTGAGAAGTTAAGCTTGTTCCCAAGCAATTCAAGCGGGCAGTCAGGCTTTGGGAGTTCTTTGAATTTTCTCCTTTTGGGTCTGAGATCCAGTTTGTTATTAGATCTGTTTCCTCTATCTTCTTTGTTGATTAGAGTTGGTTCTTTGTATTTCATCATTGGCATTGGTTGATCAGGTCTTGGTAATGTTTATTGAAGAAAGGCCTTCTGGTGGATTGTGGCTAGTTACCCTCTACCCTATTCATAGTCATGGTAGCTCACCAATTACCCTTTACCAATAGCCATCGCAGTCGCAGACTTCCCTTCTCCATGCTGCTTTTTGTGACCTTCTGCTAGTTACGTTGGTTTCACAATGTTCTTATCTTTGCTTTCCTTCCATGTGTATATTTTTGTTGTTCTCATCCTTGACCGTTTTCTTGTGTATTACGGCATGTGGGACTCTGATGAGAAGCTGGTGAGATCCATTCTTGGTGCGATCTTTGGGGAATGAAGCATGTTTTTAGATTTTGGGTTGGCTCTGAGGTTTTTGTTGTGAGACTCCACTATGCAATTAGTACTGTGTTTATTTTTCCCTTGATGATTGGAAATGGTGTTGCTCTGTTAGCATCAAGTTCCAGTTCTATTTGTAGTTGCAACAATGGACAGAAGGTAACATGTGCTTCTTCTATTTGTGCGCTGGTGTACACTGTTTTGCCACACTACCTGAGCTATCACTCCCCTGGAACCTCACAAATTCTTTTTATTGAATCAGAATACAAGTAGAACTAGCAATAACGCTACCCATGCTGACTTGGATCTTCATGGTGAGTGGGTCCGTCCTTGATTCTACCGAATGTGTCACATGCAGGGCACAACCCCAGTGTGGAGCTATCAGTTTACTTGGATTTCATATCTTGACTTTCATCTAATGCTAATTTTGATGCTAATATTGGTTTTTTCCTTGCATCAACTTCTTTTACCCTGATTTCTAGTTATCTTGTTCGGTCCCATACCTAGGTATGGTGTCAGTTATGAAGGATATAAGGGCAAGTTCCCAGGTCTTTGACTATAGGTATTGAATATTTTCCTCTCTCTAAGCTTTTATCAAAACTGGTGTTATATGGAAGTTCCCAACTAAGTTAAAATCTTTTCACAAGTGTGCATGGTGTATTCTGCTGCCATTTTTAGTTCAAGCCAGATGCTTATGTTCATCGATGATACAACTGATGAGATCGCATGTGTTCCTCTACTTGTGGTGTACTTGCTATGCAATTCCGTCTTTTTCTGCTTGTCACGGCAGCTTGGTTTTGTTTGTTGTATAGCACATGGTGACCGTAATAGAGGGTTATATTTGGGATTTCAAAGGTTGCTGTCGCATATTCGTGTGCACGCTGTCTCTTGGTCTTCTTTTGGTGCTTGCACTGCAATCTGGATATTTTCAGGCTTCGAGAAAAGGGTGTTTTCAATTTTTTTCCCGAGGTGGTATGGGTTTCACGAGATTTGCACTAAACTCTTCCTTTTTGTGCTTGCAGCTGTTGGGTCTTAGAGCAGTGAATTCTTTCCTGATGGAATGGCCTTGTTCGTCGATTTGCGTTTCTTTAGGCTTTTATGGTATTGCGATTTTAAGTTCAGTTTCATTCTCTAATCATAGTGATGGCAGCACTTTTTGGGCTACCTTGCTGTCCTCCTAGTCTGAAGTTAATGATTAGTCTATATTAACTAGAAGAGAGGAACATCTTAGATCTCGGTAGACTCTGATCAATCAATGTCTTTACGAGGAAGCAGAGGGCTTTTAGTGCTTATATTTTTGTATGAGTTCATTTGTTTCAAACTATTCTATTAGGTAGATCTCTCTCCTTTTTTTTTTTGGAAGCATGCATATTATATTTTGTATGTTCATTCATTTAAAGACTTGCTTCAAACTGTTAGCTATTGTAAAAGCTATTATGTAAAAGAGCCCCTCCACACTTTTTTCTCCATAACACATTACCATTTGAACTGCCTTTGCCCCAAAAAGAGCTCGATTCACTAATCTAAAACAGATCAATTGTACCTGTAAAAAAACCTGGCTCATATCCTGTAGAACAGGTCATGTATTCTCTTATTTTATTTTTGTATGTGAATGCGAAGGTTATTAAGGAAAAGGCTTTTTTCGTCATGTATAGAGCAAAATTGTTGTTGGTTTGTGAGTTCATCTTGCCTTTTGCTTGCTTTTAAGATTGCTTAAATTCAATAATGTCGAGATTTCAATTTTTGCTGATGTGATGTCATCCTATCTTTAACCTGACCCCAAAGGGTGGTTATGTACTAGTACATATGTTGCAAAATTTAGGATTCTCATGGTCTCTTCCGTTGCATGTTGGATATTCATCAACTTTTTTCATCTTCTGTTTTTTCATTCTCTCTTTCAGATTACACGATGCCTCGTTATTTTCTGACTGAAGCTTTTACATTTTGTGCTTAGCTTTAGCTTTCACAAATGTTTTTCTATACATAAGCTTTCTGTAGAAGACATCCTGTTAAGGAGTGGTGGATGTTGACTGGCTTTCGCAATATTATGCTATAATGGGCTGATGTGGATTTTGTTGCAGGGTTTCCAGTGAGCAATATCTTTTCTGCTCGGTCTTTTTTCTTCCCCTTTTGGAGGAATAAGGTAGTATAGGAAAAATCAAACAAAGCAACCACCCGTATGCAAGAAGTGTACCTGATGTCCAATACATTAAAGAAGCTTCAGCTGACCATCTTCCTGGTTCATGCATCACATATATCTTCTAACAAATAAAGTTCTGTTTTGGGCTGGAGATATAACTTCTTTTTACATTTTAGCTGCTGTGCATTTTCAGATTAGCATTTTGTCAGCTGAAGTCATATTGTGCACTAACTAGCCAGCTCCATGAAGTTGTCTACTTCATGTGAAGTCACATTGGAAAACAGTACATTTTTTCCTGTGAATGTTTCATGATAGTCCGGGGACTCTGCTTTTCAACATCTGCTGGCTTTTCTTTGGAGGAACTGTCCTATCATATCTGCTATTTTTGCCTGAACGATTTGGATCCTAGATGGGCAGGGTAAATTCTATGGCTTGTTTAGGAAATTTGAAGTGCATTCCACGTTAGGTTTGGTTTGTTAGTGCAACCGGTGTTTGGATAATCATTTCTCGCATAGCTGCTTTTACAAAAGTCTTTTACTGTGAGATTAGAGGATGGAACTTGAGAGGAATATAATACCATGTGATCTTTCTCAGGGAGTGTATGCAGTGAGTTCTAAGCATATGTGCTGTCAATTGTGCTTTTTGATCTGAGAGAGTCTTATTATGTCTTCTGTGTGGAAGGATCCCCCCAGCCTTATAGGAGAGATACCTTCATCAAAAGGGAAAAAAGGAACAAGAACGCCCAGCTTATAGGTTCTTATATCTTTTGATATTCAATGATGTGGTTGAACACAGATGTGATTTTATCTTCTTTTGAGAATGTTGACATTGTTATGGGCTATGCCCAACTTTGGTAGGTCAGCTGGCACTATGGAATTTGTACCTGCAACTTGCTTTTTGATTCTTGCTTACACTAAAGTGAGGTGTTGTGAATTGATTTTGTTGCTTTAAACAAGGTTTTTTGATGTGGAAGTAATCTTGTTGATTTTGTTACTTTAAACAAGGTTTTTATGTGGAAGTAGTCCTTTGGAGATTCAGCTTCGAGAGAGACTCGGTGGAGAGTTTGCTTTTGTCACTTGGCTATATGAGATTTTTCTATGGCGGGTGAGGGGTCTTCCATCATTGTTTTGTAGGATGAGATTTGCTTTCGGGGGTGGGGTGAGGAGTGTATCCACTGCTTCATTATCTTTTTTGTGAGAATGAGGTAATTGTACTACTAAGGAGGTGGCATTATTTATAAGTGGAAAAAATAAATCCCTTTTCAATCTTACATGGAGTCTAAGAAGCTAAGTATTTGTTCTGCTTCATTATCACGGAAAGGTTTGCAATGTTCCAGCACCATGAGTCTGTTTCAATCTCTAATTTAAGTTGTGAGAATTTCTAGGATAATGGAATTTGCAACAGTATTCTATCACAAAGACTCCATTTTGACTTGTGTGATTTTGTCCTTCAATTAGAATTTTACTTAGAAGGTCATTGCCAAGTCTCAATCTTATTGGTTCAATTCTTTTTTTTTTTTGTTTAGCGATTGAATCGTCAATCTATCCTATATTCTCTCCTAGGTAGACCTGTGTCTCTCACTTTGTATCCCTAAGTACAGTCGTAGACCTGTATCCATTCTTCAACAATTCCGTCAATTTGTTCCTTTTTTAACTAGGAGGTCGCTACCCGGTCTGTTCCTCCCAGTCTTCATTTCCGTTAGTAAATCGAAACTTATTTCCAGGTTGTTCGTCGGCACTGTGTCTTGGTTGTGTTTGAGTGATGCATTTTGTTGAAATCTGTTTTATTTGTTCAACATATGATCTTGGCTTGTCTTGTCATGATACCAACGGTGGTTTCTCCTTGTGAATTCTCGGTTTTGGTCTACCTGTTGCTAGGTTTTGTTTAGGTAATTAGGTGACCCTTGTAACTCCGCCTGTCAAATCAGCCGGTCCCAAGCCCGGAATAAGGAGGAGGGAAGGTGTCAAGTGTGCAACTATAGTTGTCCCTTCTTTTTTGTTCATGGAAATGATTTCTGGAGCTGCCTTCGAGTGTTTCTTGTTACTTGTCTTGAGCAATTAGGATGGGAACATGTGCTTCTTTAAATCTGTCATTGTTTTTTTATCTTTGTGTCGCGTCTGATTACAGTTAATGTTTACTTATCAGGAAAGCGTGGCTGCTAGATAAAATGCCTCAAGATGTGTTAGCAGCTTGTATTGGCAAGTCGACTGAGAAGTTTCAGTCAGTTGTGCTCGCTTATCATGCAATTGGTAATTAGAAATTTTAATAACAACTTCTTTCCTATATCTTCAGTTAGAAGAATTTCACCAATGTTTTTGATGATTTAAGGGATTGCAGTCTGTCTCACATCTACTGCGATTTATTGAAGATCCACCTTCACACAGGAGATATTGTTTCGTTATTGATGGCTCCTAACTCAATATTCAACTAGAGTTTAGTGCTTAGCCCGGCAGTATATGAATATGTAGTTTCAGTATGTGTTTTCTACTTACCCGGTATATATCCTCAAAAAACAGCCGATATTCCATCCCTATCCTTCCCTGCTTGCAGTATAATACTCTTTCACTGTTTGCTATTGCTACTGGATTTTCATGGATGATGTAGACGGCATCTTAGAATCAGTGGACCATTGAAGTTTCTGATTTGACATGTGAGGTTTCAATGCGGTGCAGACTACCTTCCGAGCTTGTTTTCCTTCCATGTCCGCTCCATTTTAGTGATGATCCACCTTTGCATTGGAAATTTGGTTCATTATTGATGTCTAGAAATGCTTCCATTCACTGCTGCACAACATGAACTCTTCACTATTTGCTTGTGAGCTTTTCATGGATGCTGCAAGACCAGTGCAAATATCAGTTTGCAATGGTGGTCAAACTTGTCATCATTGGCAACATTGCGAAAACGATATTGATATGTGTGGTCTCTGTGGACGCTTGCAGACTACATCCAAATTTCCAGTATGGAGGGATTGTAGTCTTTTTTCTTTTCTTTTCACGTCTACTCCAATGCAATGATGATACACCCTTGCAGTGGAAAACTTTTCCTTGATGTCTCCGAGTGACTTCCAACTCAATATTCAACTAAATAAGAGGTTCGCATTTAGCCAGGCCCCAAATTGTGTATTCAAGCATCTTAAGAATTTATTATCTGGAAAGTTGGTGATCCTTGTATATTCTCATCATCTTTAAGAAGTTCTTGCCTGCCTGAAACATAACATTCTTTACTATTGCTTGGTGGATTTCATCAGCTTGTGTGATTTTCGTGAATGCTGCAGAGCACATCCAAATATCAATCTGCAATGGGAATCAACTCCATGGCAATCCTGATAATGAGGTGTCGTGTGTGGGGGGTTTCCGTTGACGTTGCAGATAATGTCTAAATTTCAGTCTGCAATTGTGTAATCAAACTGATGTAGAATGCCGTGGATGGTAATGTTTGGCTGTGAAGTCCTTTCATGTAAGTTCCTGTTTCAGACAATACTTTAGCTGTGAGATAGAAGAATGGATTCAAAAGCCCCCTAATATCTTTTGACTTACTGTCACTTGCCGCTTTTTGGGCTTTGAAGGTCGATCCAAAAGCATGCATTGAATACCGCGAGACTTATTTCCTCAGGAAGGTTAACACATGTCTATGAAAATATTGTGTCGGTTGTACCTTGATTCTGATATAAAATACCTTTCATGTAACATTTGGCTGATTATTCCTTTCATGTAGATACCTGTTCCAAACAAATCTCAGTTGTGAGATATAGAATTTGGAAGTCACCTGGTACCATGTGGCTTAATATCTGTGAGGCTCCTCTAAGTTGGGATCGGATCCATGCTGTCATGTGAGTTTTTGCTCTTTGAGGTCCTTGCGTTGTCTTGTTCTGGAGGTGTACCTAATTAGTAGCTTTGTATTAGTATGTTATATAGAAGTCAACAGTGCCAAAAAAGACTGCCTTCTCCACTTTGTGTGCTAAATTGGTGTTTTTTTAATAGACGAATGAGGGAGAGGACAGATTATAACTCATTGGTGTTATTTTGTGGAAAGGCCTTCGAGGGATTATGATCATATCTTGTTAGATAGTTATGATGTTGACTTCTGGGTTGCCTGATATCCCATACAACATTCAACTTCCTAAGCGGGGCATTTGCAAATAGGAGGATGAGCGGATTAGATACTAGGATAATGGCTCTTTTTTGTACTCTTTTCCCAGTTTGGTATTAAAAAAAATAGTAAGTTTCCCCATGTCAAAATATATAGATTTAGGAGTGTGAGGGTCAAACCATTCAATTTTCAGTTTCAATACGGACATTGATTCCTCGGATAATAATGATCCCGTATGAAGTGGAACAGGAGGGATTGAACTTTTGTGAGAGTAGAATCCTGTGCCCAGAGTGAAAAATTATTAGTGTAACTGGAATTCCACGTTGTCTACTTCAGGTGAAGTATATGGGAAGTAGTAACTTTTTATCCTGTGGATGTTTCAGTGCAGTCGGGTGCCTCTGCTTTTCAATATCTGCTGGCTTTTCTTTGGAGGAACTGTCATATGATATCTGCTATTGTTGCCTGAATGATTCATGTCCCATGGGCAGGGTGAAGTCTGTGGCTTTTTAGGGAATTTGAGGTGCATTACAAGGTTAGGCTGGGGGCTTGTTAGTGCTACCAATGTACAAGTTAGCTCATATTGCTGCTTGTAAACAGTCTTTAACTGTGAGGTAAAAGGATGGAACTTTAAGGGATTTTCTCAGGAAGTGTATGCAATGAGGTCTAAGCGTTTGTGCTGTCAATTTGAGCTTTTTGGTTTGAGGAGTTTATCATATTTTCTGTATTGTGGAAGGATACCCAGCTTTATACGAGATATCTTACTAAATCAAAGGGATAAATTAAAAGAAAGGAAGCTTATAGATTTTGCTAGTTTGACGCACAATGACGAGGTCGAATGGGAGATGTGATTTTATTTTATCTTCTTTCGAAAACCTTGACGTGGTCGTATGTACTGCCAAATATTGATAGTCATCGGGCACTAGGTAAGTCAGTACCTGTAGTTTGCTTTTCATTTCCTGTATATGCTAAATCATACTGTTGTGGATTGATTTTGTTGCTGTAAACGATGTTTTTTGATGTGGAAGTAATCTTTTTAATTTTCAGGTGGGGGGGCCACTCGAGGATCTTTGTTTTGTAGGCGTTTTGTTGAGATTTGTTTTGTTTTTTTT